ATTGCGCGTTTTACGATGCTTACTTTCCCCAAACTTTCCTCACCACAAAAGATTCGCAGAGAAAGAAAAGGACAATGGGAAGAAGTGATCACGATCGTAAAATGGAATCCAAATATTGTTAGGGACGAGAGGAAAGTGAAAATATAATAAAATTTGGATATGATTTGAATACAGAGAGTTGAATAGAAAAAAGGTAAATAAATGAAGGAATGATAAAAATGGGATTTATTCGGGATATTCATCTCAATTTCGGTCTAAATACTCCGCGTTTTCATGGATTAATTAAAAGACATGATTTTAAGTTGATAAATTAACAGAGATGTTATTTATTGCAATAATTATGAAATCCCTAATTTTGTAATTAATTTAGCTGTTCTCTGCGGATGGATCTAATTCTTTTGAAATATCAGTTTCTTAAGTAATGACTCGTAAGTAGTCAGATGATTGTCTGTTCGTCAATATTTTGTAGTATGCAGATTGAATTTAGGGTATTTTTACCAGGTTCAGATTGAGGTCCATTAATATTTTTACGACTTCGCCGTCATTAAGATTTAATTTGCAAAGTAAAATATCCGTTGCTGAGGTTATAGATCGAACGATGGTTCGCTTTGTACTAAAACCAATCGAAAAACATTCACAACTAAATTACAACTTGTAAGTAATTTATGTGAAATTTATGCATTTAGAATTTTATGATTTCTATTCAGTGTACTCCGCAGCACGCTGCCACTTCCGAATTTATAAAACCCCACCGAAAATTTGATTTGAATCTGTATGATTCTGATTTTCGCAACCTTTATAATTTTTCGTCACCCCGAATAATTTTGACGTGACGATCCCCATTTATTCCACAAGGAATAAATTACTTTCCTTAAATAGAATGAGACACTTTTTTTCCTTGGGAGAAAAGTGGCCCAATTTTCTCACGAGGTGAAAGTCGTGGTGAAAGTGAAATCATGTCTTTTCCCCAAACTTGTTTATTTCCAATTGTGCATTTGTGTATTGTTGGCGTGAGAGTGACAGCTTCTTGTCGGAACAAGTGAGAGAGAAAGCAGATAAAAGGAAGAATGTGTTTTTTGTTAGCGTGAAAAGTTTCATTTTTTGCATGATTCCTTACTCCACCTTATTTTTCGCACTATTATTTATCCCGTGTTTATGGTATAGTTCGCCATTTCATTCCAAATATTTACGCAGGTAACATGCTATAACAGGTTGAGGAAATACTTAGCGTGGTATAATAGTTTCAAGTATTTCCGTGTAATTCACACAGTCCTTGGTAGCTTGTAAAATCCCCTTGTAAACTTACAAGCTTTTGCAAATATTTCGAAGGAAAATTAGCCTACAAATTTTTGTAAACTTGTTTAGATCAAGGACGTCTTTTTATTTCGTGAAAGATAGCACAGTCATTTTATAAAATTTACAGATTGAATTGAGTTATAAAGGACAAATTGCATAAACTGTCGAATTTAATTCTTACCTCAAACTGGCGAATACGACATATTCTTTTGACAAAATAGTAAAAAACTAAACTGGATTTGTACAAAGTGCAAAATGGATTTAAAAATGTATGAGTTTAGTGACTTTGTTTAAATTCGTAAAAGTTTAATAAGATACGAAATTTAAATTAGATGGAATAATCACATCCTAAGTTGAAAATTAACGTATTAACGTGTTGATTAATTGGTTGGTTGTTGTTATTACAATTACATCGTTTTATTGCAATTAGTGGTTGTCGTTTTAGAACATCATATTTTAACATGCACAAGGAGTGAAAATAAATAGTCAATTTCACAACATTTTTGGAATAAATATTATAGGAATTTTAAACTATTATAAACATAGTTTGTATATCTTTATCTACGAGAGTAAGTTTTAAATATGTTTAGAATTTTAGTTTAGAATTGTTTAGAACTAAACATATTTAGTTTTAAATATGTACGAAAAAAAGGTTTAAATACAACGAAAAATCCTGTTAGTTAAATAGCCAATAAAATAAAATAAAAATATATTTTTAAACTTAATATTCTAAATTCGTAAAAATCAAAATTTTAAAAATCTTAAAATTTTAGAAGCATTCAACTCTTTTATGAATAAATACCTAATTAACGCAATAAACCCTAAACCCTAAATAATTCACCTCATGATCTAACCTTGTATTGATTAATTAAAAATTAAATAAAACGTACTCTCGTCGCTAAAGTGTACCAAAAAATACAAATTTTGTGAAGTTCATAAATTTATATGGACAATTTTATTTAGATTATAAAAAAGAGATATAGGATTATTGAATGCCAACTTAATTGATAAAAAAACTGTAAGTATTTTAAACATGCTTGAACACTTAATTTTTTCGAATGTTAATTCAACACATAATTTGCGAAAAAAAACACTTATACATGTACGTTCAGTGCATTAATTTTGCTCCAAAATTCCAACAACATCACTAAAAATAGTAACATAAAGCTTTACTTTATAATCCTCTTTACTCAATTTTAAATCAATTCGAATTCTATAAATGTTTAAACCCTTTCTAGAAAAGATAAATACAAAAGAATTTGCAAAATAATCCGCCTTGTAATACGTCATCATTACATTAATCGACTAAAAAATGAAGACTTTCTCCTCCACCTTTCTCCATTCGCGGAAGAAGAATTCGCCGTCCGAGTCCATTTTATTCCAATATTAAACCCACATAAATTTTATGTTGGTCGAAATTAGGTTTTATTCCGACTTTGGGAACATAAACCGTGCTTTCTCCCGTCCAATTTCATCCATCTCTTGGTTACCGGCTTGCCCTCCCCGTGAGCAAAATTGGATTTTAATAGGACGAGGAATCAAGGAACAAGAGGAGAGGAATGAATGGAGAAAAGGACAAAATTAGAATTTCGGTGAAAGTCGGCGGCACGATTTATTTATTTCCTTTCTACTTTCACCCACCGAGAACATAAATCAGGGGACAACTCCGGACCAGACGAGCACACTGTGTTCTTCTGCCGTTGCTTTCACCAAAATATGTATTTCGACGAGTAATTTTGTTCGAGAGGATTTTAAATTGGGGATGAAATGAGTGAAAGTATGTACGCATGTAAAGCTATTAAGTCGGTGGATTGGATGGGTGGAGAGACAGGTGTATTATGTAATCCATGATTTTAATGGAATTATTCACTGGGACGATACAACTTGTGCAATTGGTGGCAAGGGGTACTCATGAATAAGTGAGAAAGTCAAATGTTTCATGATTTAGATGTATTCACCTTTGTAATTATTACCGTCTGGTAACAAATAGAGACATGAAGAAGAACAAGAAATGAAAACCTGGTCGATTGAAATAAATTCGAGGTTCAAAATCATGCTTAACAAAATGCTTGTCCTTTCAAAAGATTTATTATTCCGGGAAAAATGTGTTTCCGTTCGATAAAGAATTCGTCACCGGAAGTGCGAGCAAGACTATAAGTTATTTATATGCGCCAAGATCGACATGATTTTCAATTCGTATTGAAATTATTATTTATTTCGAAAGGATATTACTAGTACAAACTTTTTAGGTTCATGAAAAATTTGTGATGGCAAATCGTTACCGACGCGGTAAAGCCTAATTCTACCACACAATTGATTTTTAGTGCTTTCCATTCTCCTAAATATTGTCCCACCAAGAATTACATCCACTCCTTTGAGATGAGCACCCCCAAGATTTTAATTGGGTGAAAGCACCCGACCTGAAAGCAGAATTAAGCTCGTGGACGTCACAAAGCATGATTGTTTCGTGTTATGTATGGCTCTCGGGTTATGATGTGAACCCAATTTTGTCTGCATTTCACCCACAGAGAGAGAAAGTTGGATGGAGGGGAGAGCAAATTTAGCGGAGTTGATGAAGTGGTCGTGGTGAGAGTGAACGAGTGTTTGTGTGGCTGACCAAGTCCATCCATTTGCAGGAACGGAATTTGTTTGCGAGTGTTGTGTGGGCTGTTCTGTCTGGTTTTCGAGTGGTGAAAGCGAGATCAAAATTTAGAATGGTTCAGAGCGGTGAAAGTAGAAAGAGAAAGGAAATTTGGAGACTGTGCGCCAATTGTAGGATCGATGTGTATGGATTGGTTAAGCTATCTTCTTTCCCATATTAATTTGATCGTATTGGTTGAGATCTGCAAAATTTTATGAAAATCAATCACATGATTCAGAATTTTAATTTTGTAAGGCTTTAATGACGATATTAATTTAAACCCAAGTTGTAACTTAATTTAAATAAGATAAACAGATTGGCCACGCAGAGCATGTAACGTATAATTTTAATTAGTTTCAAAAAGATAAATGCATAAATTTGGACTTTTTATTTTTAGAAAACCTGTTAATGAGCCGTAAATGAGCCAGAAATCAACCGTAAATGCACTGTATACAAAAAATTATCCATTTACAATTTTGTTGGAATTGATACCATTTGCATCCTAAATTTATCTGGGAGTCCTAAAATGCTAAAAAATTAAACTTTGCACAAGTTCGTGACCATTTCTTGTGCATTTAAGGCCACCAACTCATCAGCAGCACTATTGCATACATATCCCAGATAACAATTCGCTCTGAATTCTCTTATGTTTCGATATTACATTCGCTTTGATATCGATATCGAATTCGCCTCGAATTTCCAACTTTCGAGATAAATTCGAGGAGATATCGAAGGGAAATGTCCGCCGATTCGACAGAGAATGGATGGAGAATCGTATATCGATTTCGCCGGTAAGTCTTCGCGATTTCGTCTTGAATTCGATGAATATGTAGGAGTTCATAACGATTTCTAAACGAATTCAATGCGACTTCTCCACGAATTTAATGCGACTTCTATACGAATTCACTACGAATTAAGTAATAAATCGATACGATTTCTCCTATATTTCGAGTTAATCCAGCTTATAGTTTATTTTATTTATTCTAAATATCATGTAATATACATAACTGTTTACATTAAAATAAACATAAGTTGAATAATCAGATGACCCTGGTAGCGAAATTGGCCGCGATGTTAAGTCACTTCCTATTGAAAATATACTAATGTTATTTCTAAAATCTTTTCCAACAGTTATTATCGATTGTATATATTTGTACCTCATACGCTTCCCAACTCTATCTGCGACGTTCTTAAGAGATTTGTGTATTTCTTCGTCAACTGTGCCCTCGTCTGGAAAATTTGGAGTCCTAGGGTGAGCTGCTACCGCATCTGAGATTAACATATTTTTAAAATGTTTTAGAGTGTTGCATAATGAGATTGCATTATGAGGAATTTTAAATTCAAGGGACCAATTTTAGATACTATATGTAATATCAAAAGTATCAATTTCACCTTCGCTTTCTGAGCTAATTGTTTCAGTTGAACTTCCTTCACTCGTGTTACTTCCGACTTCAATTTCTTCCAGATCTTCTTCGAACACTTGTTCTAAATAAATGTTTTCCCCTTCGGCCTGGACTAGGTCACTATTTAAATTTTCCTCAAAAATTTCACTTCGTCTTTTTACAAGTCTTCTTTTTTGGCGAGCACTCAACTGAAAAAGTCGTCTCCTTCCCATGAGGAAAGATTTGAATGTGGCAGCTAAAATTACTTAAAAATATAGTAACAGCGTGAAAGAGAGAAATCACAGTGAATTCTCTAAGGATTATTTACGAATTCGAGATTTAAGGCGAACAGTATATAGTCTCCTATTCCTGTAAGAAGAATTCCTATCGAAATCGGGGAAAATTCCTAACTACAATAACAGCGAATTCGTTTAAGAATTCATAGTGAAGTCGTTTCGAATTCGATAGAAGAATTCTCTGAGAATTCGAGTCTAATTCGTTACGAATTCTGAAATGAGCGTAATATCGAATTTAGGTACGAATAATTACCGAATTCGATGCGAATTCGATACGAGAATAATAACGAAATCTGAGAGAATTCGAGTTCTCTGTTTTAACGCGACATTCTCTGCGAATTCTCTAAGCGAATTCATAGCGACCTGTTATCTAATATTAGATCGACTCAAAATCTGTAGGGTAAATATGCTATTGCACTCAAAATAAAAATTTGTCGAATCAACACCGCCGGTGTCAATATATGACTTAACCGCCTTGGTTACAATGTTGAATCCGAGTTATGATGATTTTGATACCGGTAGTTATAATGTTATGACCGGACCGAAAAAATTCGTTACTACTCGGAATCACAATTGTAAGTAAGGCGGTTAAGCCATATATTGACACCGTTTTGTTTTGAGTGTGTAAATCCCTTTTATTCTGATTCGACGCTAAAGTTTTCGTATCGAATAAAGAACTTATTCTGATTTATTTTCATGGCTGATTTACATTTCGTGGAAACTAAAGAAATGTGCAAATTTGCAAATATTTTGGCTTCCGGATAATACATAAACATGCAAAATTAGCCCATTGTGTCCCCAGACGGTCCATTCCCATCAATACAGGGTGTTAATAAAGTCCGATCCCATTTTTCCTGTAAAAAAGTGAAGGCTAGTATAAAAAAAAACTACCCGTGATACTTACAAAAAATGTTCGACATATTTACCTTAGTATTTGGTCTTGTTACCATTTACTTTAACCATGCCCTCAACTCTTTGTTTAAGGCTCTGTGCTAATTTTTCCAATGTGCCTCTGGAAATCGAATTCCATACATCTTGAACTTTTTTTTACTAGCTCTTCCCTCGTCCGGGGTTGTGGCTCTTTGTATACATTTTCCTTAAGTATGGACCACTGGTTCTTCAGGGGATTCAAATCTGGGCCGTTAGCGGCCCACACCCCCTTGCTCCAGACCGTTGAAACTTGCGTCTTGATGAGACTCAAACTCGCTTTTGCTGTATGGGCTATAGCACCATCCTGCATGAAAACTATTTTTCTTTCATTCGGAAATATTTCCTTGTTCCCCATGCTATCGAAATAGATAGGTAATATTTTTTCCATATAATGCTTTGCATTGACTGATTGGCCTTTTGGTATGATATGTAGAGGGGTCACGCAACGTGCACAAAATCCACCCGCTACCATAACTTTAAGCCCGAATTTTGGGATCGCTCTTGATGGTACATCCGATTTGTTTTCTGTCCTGTAACGAACATTTTGTTGGTTCAATTTTGGATATAGTTCAATAATAGATTCGTCAGTCCAAAGGATGTGACTGCGCAATTCTTCACCAAGTCTTTTTTCACTCAAATGGGCACTTTTCTGAAGGAGTTCTTCAAATTTCAGACGGTCATCGATATATTTTTGTGACATGAGAGGTTTTTTTGGTTAGTTTGTAAGCTGTGTGACCCCACTTCGTAGTTTTCACAAATTTTTGCACGGTCACACAGTTAATTTGCTTCTTCTTCTCTTTATAGCGTTTTGAGTCATTTAACTCCCTTGCTCAATTACGTAATAAACTACCGGTTTTCTTGCAAAGTCTGTTTTTAATCATTCTTTTTGTGGTAGGTGACACCTTTCTGGGTCGCCCTGGTCGCTTTTTGTCGTGGACAAAATTTTTATTCTTCCATTTCCAAACAGTTCTGCGGCTGCAGCCCAATTTTTGCACAATTTCTGTAGGTTTAAGCCCCTGCTGATGCAATGTTTGTATCTCAACTCTAAGATGCTCATGACTTACACGTTTAGTTGTTCCTCCCATGGTAAAAATTTGAAATAAATAACTTCACTGGTTCAAAAGTTCCAGCTGAATTTGTAACAACCACGCTCCAAAAAATGCATGGGATCGGACTTTATTAACACCCTTTAGATCGGCCACACTAACCTAACCAAACCGGCCACAAAATTATAGTTTTGATGTTTAAAGTTTTGCAAAACTCGATCACATGCTTTCCTTATGCAAGTCGAGTAGGATACTAAATTAGTTAAGTGTGGATTCATGCATTTTATATTTATATTTTGTAAAAATTGAGAAACTGATTTATCTGTTGTAAAAAAATATCATTGACAAACTATTAAGAATTCACAGAGATCGAACTCTTTACCAGACGTTTCACAAGATTTTAGAACAATTCGGTATATTTTTGACGTGTACCCGAATTTTGATGCATCTTCATCTTTAAAAAAACGATGTTACAATTTACTAAAAATATTACATTTGACGACACACTATTTCTAAAATCAGAAATACACAAAATACAAATATATATAAATTTCTTGTCTCCAAACTTTTAAATTCATTTCTTCGGAGTTCAAGTACAAAATTCAAAATACGCAAAATTGGTACACAAGACTTGTTTATATCTAACAATTTACAATCCCCAAAGATTTGAGACGTTTCACAGTAAAAACTGATTTAATTTTTGAATAAATCTCTGGATTTGGTTTATTATTTCCAGAATTTTAAAGTGTATAAGCCAGTATAATAAAACTTCAATTCAATTCAAAAAATATTAATTCCTTTTATCCATTTCCAGGTGCTGCCAACCGGAAACATACGCTTTCTCCCCTTTCCCATTGACAAGTTCCGACCCGACGTTCACTTTGGGACGCTTCGGTGCAAACTCAGTAATCCGTCGAGAACAATCATCAGTCCGGAAGTCGTGGTTCGTGCAGGTAAGAAATCCAGAGAAAAGTGAAAGGAAAACTTTCTGGAGAAAACTTGGACAAAAAATAATGAGTTTTCCCCCGAAACTTTGTGTCATTATGTCATTTTAATTAGAAATTGTGATCTTAATCTCTGGAATTCTTTCAGTGCTGGACACCCCGTTCTACATAAAAAATCCGGACGTGGTCGTGATCCGGGGAAATAATGCCATTTTACGGTGAGTTTTCTCCCCGTCTTCTTTTCATTAAGAGAGTTATCTCGTCATTTAGCAAATTATTGGACACGTGGTCACATCAAATTGTGAGATTAAGCGACTCCCATCAATCAATTAATGTGTTCGAAATTTCGTCAAAATATTTACACATTTCACGCACGGCTTAGTAACATTGCAAAATATTTCGAAGGAAATAAGCTTCCAAATTTTTGTAACCTTGCTCAGATCAAGGGCGTGTTTTTACAAATATTTTGTAAAAGTTTGATTTAGTAAAAGTATATTGTAAAATTTACGGATTTTACAAAGTTACCCAGGACTGCGTGAATCACATCATAGTTTTTACCTGCCGAATAAAATTATTTCACCAACATTTTCAAATAACTAGAAATTAGATATTTTCTTTAGTTTGACACATTAAAAAAATGGACACATTTTATTTTCGTATTTTCATAATTTGTCGAATACAAACGCCTTTTAATAAACAAAATAATGTAGACTTCCGAAAAGACAAGGACGATATAAATTCGTGTGGATGAGGATGGTGCGATGCATTTATGACATTACTTTTTGTCAACTTACACAGATCATGGGCGTCTTTTTATTTTGAAAAAGTTTGTGAAAGCAGATTATAAAATATCCGAATTTTACTAATCCTAAGTTATCAGGGCTGCGTGAATTGTCACATTATTTTTGTTTAAGGAAATCACTTGACATTTTATTTTCATCTTTATTAATTGTCGAAGTCAGACGCCTTTTCGAGATAAATTAAAATATAGATTAGTAAAGCAACAAAAAGATGCTTGTCGAATATGGAAGTTATAGGAGGCATTTGTGACTTGCCTTGTTTGTCCGTATTTAACGCAAGCTTCCATGACGCGCCGCCTACGTCATAACAGTGACGTCACAACCCTATATTTTTAATTATTTCTCAGCAACTAGGACGAATTTCGAAATTCTGGTCGACGATATTGTAGACCATCCCGTTATCTTTGTACTCGAGCCGACATCAAACATTTTGGTAGCTTGAGAATGGCTGTATGCCACAAATAGTGTAAATTCCATAAGACCACATGCTAATCATCAGGCAAAATTGGCTTATCCATATCGATCAATTTTAAATGCATATTTTTAAGCAGATAATTATCAACAATAGCGGTGTACAGAACTTCGAAATTCGATTTAAAAGTCTCGAAAAATTAGTTTGAAATTTATAAATATTGCTGTGCATTTATGTATGTAAAAGTATGGGAACTCTGAGTCGAGTCCACCTGAAGAAGTACTGGATCCGCGATTACATTACCCGAATGAGCCGAATTATCCTATTATTTTACACCAGTTATTTTAATTTTGGCGTTCAAATTATTCAATTTCGTATGATTTCTACGCCAAAATAAAAAAAAAACTGGTGCTAAATAATAAACTAATTCGGCTCATTCGGCTAATATAATTCACAGTCCAAAGGGGATGCAAATTTCGCGCAGTTTAAATTACTCAATGATTTTTTGAGACGACTACGTCATGGAGGCTAGCCTTAAATAAATCCCAAAAATACCCCGTAATTTTTGTTGCACAATGAGTACTGTAAATAAAACTCTAAATCAATTTACGAAATTTAGAATAATCAAAAAGTTAATTGTAGTGGGATTCCTCGTTTCCAAATTTGGTAGCCTTAGTTAAAAATTGTGGCGAAATAAAACTTGGAACAATTTCATATCTTCAAGTGTACCATGTAAATATCTACCTTCACGTCTAAAATTTTGGACAATTGATTAAAATTTTGAATAATTTGTGTCTTAATTTTTCCGCAGCTGCCTTGTACCTCCCGAGCTTGTGGACTATATCACTGTGACTTCCTGGGTGCAAGATGGATCACTCAACATTTATCCTAACTTCCAGACAGGTCGGTTAATTATGCACTCACTTATTCCCCCATGTTCCCACTTTTTGTGAAAACTTTGCAAAAAATATTTACTAGACATAATTAATTTTGAGATTTATTCCACCACAAATTTATTCCAACTTACAATGGAGGCGCAAACCATGTTCAGCCCAGATAATTTTTTGACCTTATTAGTTTGAAAGAGCAAGTCTTTACAAACAACATTTGGTTCGGCACTTGGGCAGATGCGCAAATTTCAGCACGTTATGGGCGCCGCAAGTTCGCAAAAACGCACGATTTTTCGGGCAATGCCAAGCGCAAGCTCAACTTCGTGCGTTTTTGCGAACTTGCGGCGCCCATAACGTGCTGAAATTTGCGCATCTGCCCAAGTGCCGAACCAAATGTTGTTTGTAAAGACTTGCTCTTTCAAACTAATAAGGTCAAAAAATTATCTGGACTGAACATGGTTTGCGCCTCCATTGTTAGTGAAACTTAGGAAAATAATAATTAAATTATTATGCAACACTATAACATTTTATTTGTTTTTTTTCGTCAGTCTCCCTCAACAATGTCACCCATGCAAGTTCTTTCTTATCTAAAAAAAAGTGTGCAACACATATTTCCAAAAAAATATGCCATAAATTTTATTTGCAAAAAATTGTTTAACAAAAACACTAAATAGATTATATTGCCACTTACTATACGTTTTTTCCATTCCATTAGAAAAAAAGATGTTCCCAGTATTCTAAAAATATTAGCAAAAAAATTTACACCCCGTAAATTGTATTTATAACAAATTGTTCATTACACAACCTGTATTTACCGATCTAAATATATCCCTAGATTTCCAAAATTCTAAAAGTGCAAGCTTCCATTTTGCGAACTTTGCAAAAACTTTGCAATAATGTTTATCAGAAATAATTAATTTTGCAAATTTATTCCATTACAAATTTATTCGGTTTTTAATCTCCTTACACAACTTCACCCAAACAAGTTCTTTATTTAAAAACCTTGCCACAAAAATTTTCAAAGAAATAGGTCATAAATTTTATTTACGAAAAAGTGTTTATCAAAATTACTACTCACGCATATAACTGCTGGAACGGTTGTTTCAATTCTTTCAGAAAAAAATATTTTTCTAAATTCTAAAACTTTGCAAAAAAATACTTGCAAAAAGTCAAACCCGGTAGTTTTATGTACGAAAAGTTGTTCCTAACAAAACCTTGAGTAGATTTTAAAATTTGGAAAAGTGCACAAGCTTCCATTTCTCGAAAACTTTGCGAAGTCTGAATTTGCAAAAAATATGAGGCACTCTGTGTACCAAAAAAATTATGATGCAATTCCCTACCTCGTCACACTTTTACTTTCACTCTAATTTTATTCTGGGTCATTTCGTCTCCGAAAAAAATTGTCACACAATAAAAAAGCGTTGTGAGAAAGTGGCGGAGAAAGTTTTTTGAGTGGAAACCACCTTTTTCGTGTCAAGATTTTTTTGTCACGCTTTTCTTTCGTCTTCTTTTTTTGTAGGCAAATGGCTCCTGCTTCCGTCTGGAGAGTTGCACGTGTTCAGCGTTGACGAGTCTGACGGGCGAAAGGTGTGGGCGTGCCGAACTCTGCACAAACTGACGAACGAGGTGATGACGAGTGAAGGGGCGAGAATTGTTGTGAAAGGTAAGTGAGTCCTTGCCCTCTTTATTTGTACTTTTTTCTCGTGGATAAAGTCTGGTCTGGTCGGCAAATAAAATTCGAGTATCAATCTTTTCCTCCGACTTCAGAAAGTGTTATGTATAACGTAAGAAATCAGGGACAAAAAGGGTGTATGATGGGCTGGACAGTCGTCATCTTTCATGTGGTAGTGAAAGTGACTTACTGGACAAATTGTTAGCACAACAATGGAATTTTGAATATTTACACATTTTTTACGAAAGTTATAACATTCGATATTTACAAAAATATGTACAATTTATTGTGGAAATAGACAAAATATAGATCTATAATATTTTTCAGCATTATTTCATAATTTTGAAAAGTCTGATTTCGCGACTGTTCTCGATTGTTTCTTGTGCATATTACTTCTTAAAATTTGAATTGTATGCATACCACAAATTTTGTTCAGAATATATTTTTCATAAACCACATCGTTTTTCCTTTACTAAATCACCCCTATCTTTTTTACAATATTAAGTAATAATTAATTATTCCAATAACTATTCACGGAACTTAAATTTGACAAGAATTTAGGATTTGGAACATTTTTTTTACTATATTTATACAAAATTTGGCTTGGTTCGATTTTATGACAGTCAACAGTTGTAAAATAAGTTGATTTCTAAACTTTTTGAATAATTTACTACCGATGCAAAATTACTAATTCATCCATAAAAAATTGTTAAATTTCATTTCGCCCACTCCGAACATTCATGTCAAAATGTACCGTTATGCAAATTCGCAATAGCATTTAAATATTAAATGCTAATCCGCATAATTCTAGTTCAATTACGGGTTAATTTATGTCAATTAACTACAACAATTTAGAATTAACTACTTTGCCTCGAGTCTTCATAACTAGTGTTTATCAGGTATTTGCGTTACACCAATTATTCTAATTTTGGGAAGTCATTGCAAACGTCATGTTATCGCAAACCAAAATAGAGTTCCTTTATTTGGAAATTTTGGCTTAAATTTGTAAATATATGCCGATTTTTTAGGTCACAAGTTGCATAATTTTGCACATCAAAAACATACCAGAAATCTTCAGTTCAATTTGGACGAAAATAAATATAGATTTGTTAAATTTTTCGAAAAATTCGCTATCATTTTTCATTTTTTATCATTACCTAATAAAATTTTGAACTTATTTTTACGAAAATTCAATCAAACTTCACCGTCACTTCGAAAACCAATTAAAGTCTATAAGTTTAATTTTCTATTGCAAAATTTTGCCGAACTTGGGATAGTGCAGAATTGAACGAAACGAGATTTCATCCTGCTTTCTCTGCCTTTCTCTCATTTTCCAAAGGGGGAAAATAATCCGTCCTAAAACCCTTGGGGAATTGAGCAGTAAAAGCACACAAATCCTTAACAATTAGGTCACTTCCCTACATTCGTATAGCCAACTCGCTGCTGCTGGGTCGTCGGCTCATGGTTCGCACGGATGGATGGACGGCTCGATGAGATCGCAGTGCTCCGGAAGTGCTCCTCGAAATTGGGATTTATGTGCACAATAGAATTCGCTAAATTCAAATTGCAAACATTATTATCTGCAAACTGATAATTTCCGGTTGTCCGGTAGACTTGCAAAGCTGCGAAGATTTGTATTGTGTCAAAATAAGGGCAAACTTATGAAATTTATGTATTAAATTGCAGGGTATATTATGACTAAAAAATTCGCCTAACAGTAAAGTGAATTTTGCCAAAATTTCTGTGATCTGTACAAAGTTTTACTCAGAAATGCTCAATGCTCGTACTGGTGAAAGTTGTAACCAACCTGCAACAAAAGATGAGGAGCAATTAAAAAAAAGAAACTTAAACATGGCGTGGAACTTCTTCAATTTTGACGAATTAACTATAATGCCGATTTTTATCTGAAATAGACGGGTTAATGCTAAACTGTAGAAAACTATAAATTTTGACAAGTCAATTTGTCTGGAATGGTGAAGAATTTGACTTCAATGAGCATTATTGAAACTTAAGTGCAAATATTTACAAGTCTCTGCAAACTAGTAACTAGTGTTTCTTTAAAAAAAATAGAGGTACAAAAATCTAAGGTTATCTGGCAGAGTATTTTACCTGGCACAAAGAAAAATAATTGAAATTAGAAAAATTTAAGGGCTTCTGTCCCTATTTTTTCAACTAATGAACAGTAACTACTTACATACACCCGGTAATAATTTTGTTACCAGCGTGTATTTCGAGACTAAGCTTTTTCTAGTAAAATTAAAATATAATTTAATTTCGCATTTCCCTTTAAACTGTATTTTCGCTGAGAACCCTGTCTGCCCCCAAAAACTGGATTTGGATCTAAATGGGATCCCTTCAAGTCCGTAGGGATATTTTAACTAAAGTAGCAACAGACGCTCCCCAATTTTGCAGTTTCCCAGCTGGGGTTTGCTCCGTTTGTAAAAATAAATAAATCGGAAACAAGATCTCTCTCTCCCTTGTAAATTGTAAAATTATTCCAATTGCATTCCGCCATGGAGGTGCATAATTTCCCGAAAAAAATTAAGTTCCGGTGGATCCGTAAAAATAGAAGTTGTATAAAAATTGAAAACCCTGCAAAACTTTACAATTCTTTTATTATTACTCCCGGTTCAATTTCCTCTTTTAATCTGAACAATTTCCTCTTTTAACCTGAACAATTTCCGGAACCAATTCAATTAAATTCTCCAACATTCATCGCTGAAGTCACACTTATAAAAGAGAGAAATCAAGATTAAACTTAAAATTGTGTTCACAAAATTTTTGTCGTAAACTTCCTGCCTAATTCTTGTTCAGACATTTTCCCTCAACCAAAAACTTGGCTTCCCGTTTTTTATCTTGTTTTTGAATTTTTTAGATTATTTTATTCGGAAATCCCCTAAAAAATACATAAAATCAAGTTGGGAAAATTGTAAACTTTTAATTGTAATTGTAAAACTTTAATCCCGAAGGAGTATAATCTTTCCTAAGAATTAGTTTTATAAGGTTCCCAGATGTCCTCTTCATTTGGTTCATAGAATACTCAAAAAATAATTCATCTAAAGCTGTATTTCATTATTTTGAGAATTTAGCACAAAGTTGTCTAATTTGTCCAAAAATAACAAAATAACATCCGCTATTTATCCCTCACATTATCCATCCAATTCCTTCCTCCTACGAAATTTATTACACTTAGAAAATCACACTGATTTGATCCCATAAAAATAAAGAAGAGAATGAAACCGGGCAGGTTTCCACTTGCAGAGAGAGAAAAGAGAAAGTCGAGAACTTCTCCATTTCGCAGCATCATCGATTAAACATATCCGTCGCTCACCTCCGTTCACTTTTTTCTCCTCGCTCCTGGACAAGCATCAACTCGATTTGATCCCTTCTCCGCCCAACAAAGAAACACAAAATTTGAAGGATTTCCAACAGACCGCAAGAATTTCTCGGTTTTACTTTGCGAGTGGTTTGCGGTTTGGTTTCCTCCACATTTTATTTCAGTTTTCTTTTTCTTCTCCGAATTCCCAAGCTCTCCGAGAGAAAGAGAAACCAAGAGCGATGTGGAATAAATGGAGCGGTTGCTTTTCACTTAAGAAAGTTGAGAAAGTCGGGAGAGAAAAGAGGAACTCGTAAAAACCATAGGTCGGCAATGGCCAGAGATTTGGGGCATTTTGAACCGTATTCAATTTTCTGAAATGGAAATAGGAAATAAAAAGAAAAATAATTAATACAGAAATTTAACGAATCTCATCAAAACCCGTCAAAACTTACAAATCCAAATTTAAGAATAACAAACCTTTCAAAAACTAATTTTACAAAAATTGTGACATAATGTTAGCAAAAAATCGTAATCATCCTTCTTATCGCGGACCACAACTTTCACCCAGCTAATTTTTTAAATCGTAGTCTCACTACCGGTTGCCAATTCTGTATTACCAGACTGGTAAGAATTTGGAATTTCTCAGAAAATTAGTGCAAGCTAACCTAAATTTTTCGACCTATGTACATATGTTCCCACAACAAGGATTGAATTTGGTCCCATCTGCTCCTTTCTCTTTTCTGGGTTGAATTTAAGGACTTCTTCAAGGTCTGGTCTGGTCTCGTTCTAGTTGCAGCATCTGAGTCTGGGGGGACGCTCAAATATTACACAGAGGCAATTCACGCAGGCCTTAGTAGCCTTGTAAAATCTGCAAGTTTAGTAAAAATAATTGTACAAACTTCTGTACAAAATGAAAAGCCCAATCCTGTCTGTCTCACTCGATTACATATCCATTACGACAATTTTCAAGTGAATTACAGAAAGTCGAACTCTTAAAATCGAATCAGAAATAATCTAGTCATTGATTTGTCAATGTGAGTTTTTGAATTTTTAGGTGTCGACATCTACCAATTTTTGATAAATTTGAGTTGATTTAAATGGGTTTGATTTATTAAGATTTGAATCTCATTTTGGCTGTGCATAATTAAAGGATAAATTCTATGCAATGTTAAAATAGGGTTATCTTGGGAATTTTCAAATTGAGTAAATTGAGTAAAATCCGTAAGTTTTGTAGACTTATTTTACAAACTTACAAGATAAAATGACGCCCTTGATCTGAGCAAGTTTACAAACACTTTCTAAAGCTAATGTTCTTTAGAAATATGTGTAATATTTTGTAAAAGTTTGTAAGTGTGCAGAATATATGAACTTTATAATAAGGCAATAACGCAGTTTTTGTGTTAAATTACTTTTACAAAATTTTGTACAAATTTGGAGGTTTATGGATTTTGCAAAGTTACCATGTACTGCTTGAGTTATCTCCTTATCAAGTTGGCCAACGCATCCTATTTTCCCATCTTAAAAAATAATTGGATGCCGGGTTTGTAAATATTTGTACTTCCATGTTTTCTGATCACGTAATCCTTGCCAGCTCCCTGAAACGAGAGGCTGCCGCGGAGAAAGCAAAGCGAAAGTGATGAAGCATTTCATTTTGCTGAGACGCAGATTACAT